TTTATTCTCTTTCTATTACAGAGAATATGAGTGTAATGTGTCATTGAAAAGTGGTGCCAGTAAAAAGATTAGGTATGAAGTATTTTCGAATATCACAAAGAATGTAATTTATAAAGAAGCATGGTAGAATCCTTACTTTCTTATTAGTATAGTATTTTGTAATTATCTTCAACATTAATATGTAATGCTTTATATTGTGAGAAGTGGATCAAATAATATGTCTTTTGTATGCTTTCTCTATATAATTTCTATTTTTTTCTAAAATACTCCCTCCGTCCCAAAAAGAATGGGACGGTTTGACTTTTTGAGAAATTAAGAGAGGGATATTTTGGTATTAACTTTCCAAAAATACCCTTGATGTGATGGGTAAAAGTAGAATGTGATAAGTAGATTATTAGGAAAAAGGTATGATGTGTGGGTAGGGTATGAAAAAGTAAGGGGTAAAAGTGGTTTTTTAATAGAAATGTAACGGACTTTACGGGACGCAGTTTTTTCTAAACGTAACAAACTTTTTGAGACGGAGGGAGTATATAATTTCTAAATTAATTACTCTTAAACCATACACTATCACACATTAAAGACCGTGCAACGCACGGGTACGAAATCTAGTTTTTTTACAGGAAAAACATCTCATTCAAGAAATTAGAGAATTAATGAAGACTCGGAGGACTAGCTATATCATCTGGCCATGAATCTAAAGTACGAAGACTGAAGATAGCACTCGGAGGACTTGTTTACTTTATTAAGTTGATGATTCTCACAACTTAAAAAAGTGGATGACTTTTTGATGGGAAATCATACGTGGCTCGGTCCACATTTCCCGATTATTTACGAAAAACACTCAAACCGGGCCTGTTTAATAAAATAATAAGAGAATATTCTCCCTTAGATGCTCTTGCTACTCCTATAAAAGGAGGGCTCTCCTTCATCAAAGGGGGGCCAATGACACTCCTTCCCTGCCCATTATTCTTTCTCTCTCTAGAATTTTTGTATTGCTGTTCTTCAATAAGCTTTTAAGCTTCCATTACTATAGCTTCCGAGCCCAAATCATGTACGGTATACAACCCCCCGATATTAATAAATATCCTCCGTTGGCAAGGTACCGCAAAAAAAGGTCTAGGGTTTTCTCCCGATTCGATTTCCACGTCAAAAATCTTGTATTTATATTTTGGTATATTTTGTTAGACTAGTTTATCGTTCTTGCCCGGCTAAAAACGATGTTCCGGTCGAGATAATTTACACCATTATTTCTCTTCTCATCTTCTCCAAGATCTACATTGCTGGTCTCTCTCTCCCCCTCTCTCTCTTTCATTTCTTTTTTTCTTATCTACTACTTCTTCTCCGTAGAAATTTTGTAACACCCTATAATAATAATTTTAGGGTGAGCCTACACCGCACAGCAACGACGTCGACGAGGAGGCAGGTGAGCCCAAGACCTCTCAAGGTCCGGACAAAGGTAAAAAAAATTAAAATCAGATTTATTTGTTTATCATTTTGAAAAAGAAACAAAAGATGGCATAGTTTATGGAACTTGTAAATATTGTGCCACCGTCATTAAAATGGGAGTTTTCGGCGGTTATGGTGGTCCGAAAAAACACCTAAGGTCAAGGCATCCCGTGGAGTATGCCAAATACGCGGCGAAAAAGAAGGAACGACAAGAAGTGCAAACCCAAATTTCTCGGTTTGCTAACAGGGTTAAGGGCGGCCTTTTTGCTTATAGCGACGAGCAAAATAAGCAAAAAATGACCGAAATGATTTGTGAAGAAAATTTTCCATACATGTTTTCTGAAAAACTTGGATTTATTGATTATTGTCAACAGGCATTAAACCCTCAAGCAAGAGGTTTTTCAAGAAAAACAATTAAACGAGAAATTATTCGACAGTATAAACTTGAAAAATAAATTTGGCAAATTTTTTTCTCAATTTTAATTCTCGTATTATTATTTGTTCTGATATTTGTGGGGAAACATATCATAATTTGTCTTATATGAGTGTTACTTGTCATTAGATAGATAGTGATTGGATTATGCATAAACGTGTTCTTGCATTTTGTGATTTCAATGATTCTCATACTGCTGAAAATATTTTTCTATTGCTTCATAGTATTCTACGGGAATACAACTTAGTTGATAAAGTGTTTGCATTTGGTTTTGATAATGCTACTAATAATACTGCTGCTATTCATAGACTTAAAGAAATTTGCCCCCCTACTACGACTATGGGTAGATTTCTGCATTAACGGTGTGCCTGTCATGTTTTAAATTTATGTGTTCAACGGGGATTAGAAGCTATGGGGGGGTTTGACGGATATTAAAGATGGAACTAGAAAAATTTGGGGTAGTCGTCTTATTTGAAGTCCTAGAAGACATTCTGTAAGTCTAAGGGTAGAAGACAAATAACATTTGCCAAAGATATCAACATTAGATGGAATAGTACTTACAAGTTAATAGCACAGATTCTAAGCTACAAAGAGGAACTTGCTGAATTTTTTAGGGATGAACTCTGTTTATGTTAATTTATTTGGGGTTGGCCCAAACATATTAATAATATTTGACACCCAACCCAGCAGCCCATTTACTCAAGCCCAACCTTTATTCCTAACCTAATTAAGCTTACCTTAATTAGCTCCTAAATCTTCACTAAAAATTGAGGCTTCCCCTTTGAGTTTTTAACCGTGCAAAATAAACTCCTTTCTCTCTTTGTGAGACTTCCATGTGGGTTTCTTTCTTCCTTTGTGAGTTGATCTCTGTTCTTCTCCGTTTCTTTGTGAGTGGAGTGTGGCGAGGTTGGATTGAGGTGTTGCTCCTTTTGGTACCCTTGTAGTGCACAACTACAGACCGATTTTTACGGGTGACCTGAGTCTAATCGGAATAAATAAATACACGCAATAGTGGTGTCAGAGCCTGGTTTGTGCTCAGTATTTATTTAATTTCGTGGGGTGTTCTTTTCTCTTTTCGGATCTACTCTTCTGGGTTTGTTCTTTCTTTTGTTGTCTTTTCCTTAAGTCAAAGTGTCAATCCCCTAGTGGGATAATTTTTTGTGGTCACCATTTAGTGGTACTCTTTTTCGGTCACTGCCCCATTTATCATCATCATCACAAAAAGAAAAATAAATCAGTGCTGTGTTCCCCTAGTCTGTTCACCAGCGAAAAAAAGAAGTAGAAAAGATCCGTTAGAGCAGAAGAAAGCGCACGCCCGTGGAGGAGAAGCAAAAAATTCCAACGACTGTTCAATCATCCGCTGCCGGCGCTCTCAATTTCATTCCTCTGCGGAATAGGTAAGTCGAATCTAGACATTAGATTCGCCCAGGTACACAACTCTTTATCCCTTTGCTTTCGTAGCATTTTTTTAGGGTTGTTTAATTCCACTTCATTATTTCCGATTGCCTAATTCCACTATAGTTTGTGCTCGTGTGAAAGAACAACGGGATTGTGTAAGCAATTTTTTCTAACATAATAATCTTGGGTTGTTCGTGCGATTGCTTCAAACACGTGAGCCAAATTCGGAAAAATTTAGGCCAAATTCTACGTGCCTCTGTGTTGTTGATTTTTTCAGTTTTTATTCTCTTTTGTGGGTTTTTTCTCCTTTGTGGTGATTTTTTTATTATTTTTTCTCCTTTGTGGTTATGTCTACTATGAATCAGTATGTTTTGACTCCTTTTAATGGAAAAACTGATTTTAGTATTTGGAAACAAAAATTGAAGTTTGTTCTTGTTCATCAAAAAGTTTATAGGGCTGTTAGTGATTCATATCTAGAAACAGACGCTAAAGAGAAAAAAGTTGAAATGAATGAAATTGCATGTTCCATAATTTACTTGAACTTGACTGACTGTGTGATCAGAAAAGTTGGTATTTTGGAATGTGCTAAAGATATTTGGAATAAACTTGATGAACTTTATACTAAAACTTCTTTGTCAAATAAGATTTTCTTACTTGAAAAATGTTTCATGTTTAGATTGGATATGTAAAGACATAGAAGAAAATCTAGATGTTTTTTCACCAAACTGATTTCTGATATTAAATTAACCGGTGATAAACATATTGACGACTACACCCCTATTGCTCTTTTGAATGCTATTCCCGAATCCTACAGTGATGTTAAATCTGCAATTAAATATGGTAGGGATAATATTTCTCTTGATGTTGTTGTGAATGGTCTCAAGAGTAAGGAATTAGAGTTGAAAAATTCTAAGAGTGATAAAAATTCTGGGGAGGTTATGCATGTGAGGGGTAGAACTTTGAATAAATTTCAAAACCATAAACATGCTAACAATGATAACTCAAATGTGAGAAGATTCAACCAGAGAAGGGGTAAGTCTAGATCCAAATAAAAAACAAGAAAATGCTATAATTGCAATGAATATGGTCACCTTAGTAATAGTTGTTCTAAGCCTAAGAAAATTCAGCAAAAAGATCATGCTAATATGGCTAGTGAATCAAACAACTTTGGTGATGTGCTAATGATAAAAGATTATGCTTATTTGAACTCTGTGCTATCGGATTATCTGTGTGAATCTGATTGGCTAGTTGATTCTGGTTGCACCTTTCATATGTCACAATTTAAAAACCTTTTTCAAACTATCAAGAGCTTGATAATGGTATTGTGTCCATGGCTAATGAAAAGAAATGCAAAGTTTTTGGAATTGGAGATGTGTGTCTTAAATTTAACTCTGGATCTATTGTGAACTTAAAGAATGTTAGACATGTTTCTGATTTGTCTTATAATTTGCTTTCTTGTGCATCTCTTGAAAGTGAGGGTTTTGAGGGAAAATGGGGGAAATGTGTTATGAAAATCATGAAGGGTTCAATCGTTGTTTTCAAAGCTGAAAAGAAAAATAATTTGTATGTGTACAAAGCTGAACCTGTTTGTGAGCATGCAAATTCTGTGGTTGATAATTCTGTTCTATGGCATAAACGGTTGGGTCACATGAGTAATAAAGGACTTGAAATATTGCATAAAAATGGACACTTGGGTAGTGATAAGCATATGCATGTTCCTTTCTGTGAATCTTGTGTGCTTGGAAAACAAACATGCGTTAGTTTTCGTAACCCAAATCCCGTTACTCGAACTAAGTGTTCTGATTTGCTTGAATATTTACATGCCGATGTGTGGGGTCCCGCAAGTGTTTCCACTCACGGAGGGAACCAATATTTTCTTTCCATAATTGATGATTATTCTAGGAAAGTTTGGGTCTTACTTTTGAAACAAAAATATGAAGTTTTTGATAAATTTAAAAACTGGAAAGTTTTGATTGAGAACCAAACTGGAAAGAAAATAAAAACACTTAGGACAGATAATGGCCTTGAATTTTGCAACAAACAACTTGATAATTTGTGTGTTACTTGGGGTATTAAAAGACACAAGACTGTTCCTTACACGCCTCAACAAAATGGGGTTGCTGAGAGGATGAACAGAACTCTTTTAGAGAGGGTGAAGGCCATGTTAGCTACTTCTGGACTTTCTAAAAAATTTTGGGGTGAAGCTGTTTGCACTGCTGCTTATTTGATCAATAGGTCTCCATCTATACCTTTAGGAGGGAATTGCCCAGAAGTTACTTTCTCGGGTAAACCCTTAGATTTATCAAACGTGTGTGTGTTTGGTTGTGCTGGTTATGTGCATCAAATGAATGATAAACTCAAACCAAGATCTAAACTATGTGTTTTCTTGTGATATCCTAACGGGGTAAAGGGTTATAGGTTGTGGGTAAAAGATGAACCAGGTTTCAAAATTGTGATAAGTAGAAATGTTGTTTTCAATGAAAATAATTTTCCTTGTTTGTCCTTGCCTATTCCCAATGTTGAAAATGTGGCTCCAAATGAGGTGGAGCAATTGCCTGTTATCATTCCTACTTATGTGCATGTAGAAACTAATGAACATGTTGATGATTCACACACTAATGAAGATGAGACTATTTCTAATGAGGCGGAGCATGATAGTGTAGAATCACATGTTGAAAATGATTTGCATGACTATCAACTTGCTAGAGATAGAAATAAAAGAACTATTAGCAAACCTGCGAGATATGTTGATGACTGTAATATGTCTGAATTTGCTTTTCATGTGTTTGAATCCCTTGAGTGTGATGAACCTAAGACTTATCGTGAAGCATTAGAATCTAATTAAATGTTCTGAAAAATGGGTTAGTGCTATGAAATGTGAGATGGAATCCCTTCGTGTTAACCAAACGTGGAAACTTGTGCCAAAACCTGATAATTGTTCTCTTGTGGACTGTAAGTGAATGTTTAAAATTAAGCAAGAACCTGAAAATGTTAGGTTTAAGGCTAAACTTGTGGCTAAGGGATTTACTCAAAAGGAGGGAATAGATTATGCAGAAATTTTTTCTCCTGTTGTCAAGTTCACCACAATTAGAATCTTGTTGTCTTTAGTTGCTCGGTATAATTGGGAATTAAAACAAATGGATGTTACTACTGCTTTCTTACATGGTGATCTTGATAAAAATATTTATATGCACCAACCTGAAGGATTTGTTGATCCTAAGTTGCCTAATCATGTGTGCTTGTTAAAAAAGGCTTTGTATGGTTTAAAACAATCACTTAGGCAATGGAACATTAAATTTGATAATTGCATGAAAAACTTTGGTTTTAGGAGAAGTAATGCTGATCACTGCTTGTACTTCAAGAACACTTTCTCTGTTCCTGTTTTTCTTCTCCTTTATGTGGATGATATGCTAATCATTAGTCCTAGCTTAAAATCTATTAAGCATGTTCAAAATTATCTTTGCAAAAATTTTGATATGAAAGATTTTGGAGATGCTAGAAAAATATTTGGCACGAATATTGTTAGGGACTGAAAGAAATCTACTCTTGTTTTAAATCAAAATTCCTACATTGATAAGATTTTGAGTAAATTTGTTATGTCTGATGCTAAACCTGTGGATGTTCCTTTAGCTGCTCACTTTGTGTTGAGTAAGGATATGTGCCCTAAAACTAAAGCTGAAATTAATGAAATGAAAAGTGTGCCTTATTCGAATGCTATTGGTTCTGTGATGTATCTTATGATTAGCACTAGGCCTGATATTGCATATGCTGTTAGTTGTTTGAGTAGATACATGTCTAATCCTGGTATGGCTCATTGGAATGCTCTAAAATGGCTTTTGAGATACTTGAAATCTACTAGGAATGTTGGTTTAACTTTTTCAAGAAGTGATAAAAGTGTTAAATTGATTGGCTATGTGGATTCTAACTATTCAAATGATAGGGATAATAGAAAATCTACTACTTCATACGTGTTCACTTTGTGTGGTTCTTGCATTAGTTGGAAATCTCAACTTCAACACATTGTTGCTTTATCTACTACTGAGGCTGAGTATGTTGCAGCCACAGATGCTTTTAAAGAAGCCATTTGGCTTAAAGGTCTTTTATCTGAAATATGCTTGCTTGATAAGAATGTGGTTGTTTTTTCTGATAGTCAATCTGCCATTCAACTATGCAAAAATCCTGTTTTTCATGATAGAACAAAACATATTGATGTTAGATTTCATTTTATTAGAGACATAGTCGAAAAGGGCATTGTCATGCTGGAGAAAATTCCTACGGAGTCTAATCCAGCTGACATGGGTACTAAGTGTTTACCTGTTGAAAAATTTACCTTATGTCAAAAGATTTTAAACCTATCTCTTTGATTGTGTATTGATATTTTGTTCTTTTTTGTCTTTGTGACTTCTTCTTTTCTTTTTTGTTTTTTGAACTCGATGACCCAATGGTAGAGTTCGACTCTTCCTGAGTTATTTTTGGCATGCTTTGTGATGTTGCCTAGTCTTCGTGACTTGAGAGTACTTAGTGAACTCTCCACCACTACGTGTGTTCTCATTTGTTGATTACACATTTAGTGGTTATTATGCTATGATGAGTCCCGCGGTTCCTTGTCAAACTATGTGCACTACTTTGGGCCAAAGGTGGAGATTGTTAATTTATTTGGGGTTGGCCCAAACATATTAATAATATTTGACACCCAACCCAGCAGCCCATTTACTCAAGCCCAACCTTTATTCCTAACCTAAGCCCATCTACCTAGAAAGGATTCATGCCAATATTGGAAAGCTATGATCAAAGTTAGAGAGGTTTTTAGACCAATGCCAACAAGCAAAAACTACAAAGTGAAGGAGGGGTATAACTGGCTCCAGGCTGAAGGAGCTAAACCACTATGGACAAAATGGGTGTGGAATAAATTCACACCACCCAAATTTCAGGTAGTGATATGGCTGTACATGCGTGGAAAACTGCAGACTAAAGATCGATTGGGGAGATTCCTACCTGTGGATATGAGATGTGGATTGTGTGAAGAGGAGAATGAAACGGCCAAGCACCTATTCTGGGACTGTAAATATGCAAAGTGGGTGATGCAGCAAGTGTTTGATAGATATAACATCTTGTTCCAAGCTAATAGCGTAGAGGAGATGGAAGATACAATGATGAAAGGAAAGGGAAATACCACAAAGATGAAGATTGCAGCTATATGGGTAGCGTGTCTTTACAGTATTTGGAGAGCTAGAAACAAAATAGCTCACAAAAACAGGTGTACGGTAGAGGAGGCTAGAGACTATGTTATTAGCTATATAAATTTTTATTTTATGTATAAAAAAGTAAGGTAGATGATTGTGGTTAGAAGTCTGATGAGTGTGTACAAAACTTTGGAGTTAGTAATGAATTGAGTGTTTTTGGTTAAAAAAAAGCTTAGCTACTAAATCTCCACTATAAATTGAGGCTTCCCTTTTGAGTTTTTAACCGTGCAAAATAAACTCCTTTCTCTCTTTGTGAGACTTCCGTGTGGGTTTCTTTCTTCCTTTGTGAGTTGATCTCTGTTTTTCTCCGTTTCTTTGTGAGTGGAGTGTGGCGAGGTTGGGTTGGGGTGTTGCTCCTTTTGGTACCCTTGTAGTGCACAACTACGGACCGATTTTTACGGGTGACCTGAGCCTAATCGGAATAAATAAATACACATAACAGTTTAATCATTTCACCTATTCAATTTGTTATTGTTGAAAAATTGAATACCGTATTAGAAGTTTTTAATAACGCAACTCTTAGTTTTTCGCATGTTTACCAACCAACTACAAATACATTTTTTAAAGAGTGCGTTACAATCACAACATATTTTCGTGAAAGTTTGGCTGATCCAGATTTGTACCCTTATGTCTCTCCTATGAAAGATAAATGGTGTGCTTATTATTTGTACATTCTTGATATTTATAAAATAGGTATTATTTGTGATCCACGCTTTAAGATGGAAAATTTTAAAATTCTAATTGACTATTACTACACTTGTTTTTTAGATGAAAATAGTTATTACTACAACCTTTTAATAGAATGGGAAAAAGAAGGAGATAATGACATAACTCTTTTTGAGAATTTGTTTATGGAATATCAAGGGTTATACGGTAATGTACCAGAAGAAACAGCACCTCCTCCGCCCCCCAAATCAAAAAAAGGTTTTAAAGGAATAGTCGGTGGGCTTCTTGCAAAGAAAGGGAAGTGTGCTCAGTCGTCGACGAGTTCAAGTGGTACAACAGTAAGCTCGCACAACGAACTTGCTATGTACCAAGGGGTGCCATGCGATTACGACAACGACGACGACGTGGAGTTTGACGTCCACGGATGGCGGAAGCGGAATGAGCACATGTTCCCATGTCTCGGAATGCTAGCAAGACAAGTGTTGTCCGTCCTGGTATCAACCGTAGCAGTGGAACGAGAATTCAGTGCTGGCGGCAACATTCTAACCGACTACCGAAGTTGTCTTAACGCTGAATCTCTTGAAACACTTGTTTGCAACCAAGATTGGCTCTTGGCAAGACGTCGAGCTCAAGAGTCAGGGTACGAATTCAATTCGGAGCATTACATGAATGCAACCACAGATGGAAGTCTGAGTTCTGAGGAATAAGTTAAATATGTAATTAGATTTTTTTAGGTGAGCGATATATAAGCTCTTTCGAGGGTTTCTTTACAGTTCTTTATCTCGTCGCTTTTTTTGAACCGTTAGGATATTAAATATAGTTGTTCTTCAGTTCGTGTATTACTCATTTTACAATATTTAAATAACAACTACATTTTTAGATTTTTTATTTCATTCTTTCCTTAAACAATTGCAAATTTACAATTTTACACTTTAAAAATTTTAAAAAAAAGCAAAAATAAAATAAAATTGGGAGGTGGCCGAAACCGGCCGGTCCGGTACCGGAACTGCCGGTCTGGGTACCGGAACCGGCCCGGAACCTTACCGTGTCCACCCCTATTGGTGAGTGGTCACACATCCTTGTTGTAACTTTTAACAAGGATGGGCAAGGGCGAGGCTATCCGTCCAAACCCGAAGGCTGGACCATTTTAAGTGGATTTGGACAATACATTTAGTTACTGGGCCGGAGTCTCGAGTCCATTCCATCCGTACATCATCGTCCCCATCCTATCCAAATGCTCCTTGTCAATCTGAAACATATACGCGATTTCGTATCTATCTGTTATCCATCTCCGACTCGCTTTCTTTTCTCCGTCTGAAAAATGGGTACAGTGGAAGGTCTCCAGCCGATAATTCACGCCCAAATTTCGTTGAACTGGCAATTGAATCCCAAGTACTTTTACCGGCAGACAATAGCCTCTTGCAATCGTTGTTGGCTTTTCCAAGGGAGTTCGAGTAATTTGATCGTTAATCCTTCGTTGCTCGGAGCTCCACCTAGGGTTTCTTCGAATTTCCTGCAGAACAGGTGCCTCAGATTTAGAGGGATTATAGTTAGGGCTAATAGTTCATGTGAACAAGGCACTGATTCGAATGACCCAAAGGATGCTTCTACCACTGAGGGTAAATCATCTCCTGGTTCCGGTTCAAGTTCAGGTTCATCTCGGAAAGAAAGTCAAGGGAAAGGGGACTTGTGGTGGTCGAAGTGGCGCTGGCAACCCATAATTCAAGCACAGGAAATTGGAGTGTTATTGCAATTGGGGTTAGTTATGTTCTTCATGAGATTGCTCCGTCCAGGGATTCCTTTGCCTGGGGTGGAGCAAATGGCTCCTCTTGCAGTTGTAAGTGTTCCTTACAGCGAGTTCTTGAATAAGGTAAACACAGATCAGGTTCAGAAAGTGGAGGTTGATGGAGTTCACATCATATTCAAGTTGAAGAATGAAGGGATGAGTGGTGTGATTGAGAGCGAGGCTGGGAGTGGGAGCAGTAAGCTGCAGGAGTCTGAGCACACCAACAGGCTTTTGTACACCACAACACGGCCTGATGATATCAAGACTCCTTATGAGAAGATGCTGGAGAATAACGTGGAGTTTGGGTCACCAGAAAAGCGTTCTGGCGGGTTCTTGGGATCAGCATTGGTAAAGTTCTTGGCTGTGAGATATTAAAGAAAATTACTTTCACATTGATGCATCCATTTCCATCCATTGCCAATGGAGCTAAAAGAGTGAATATTGGAAATTTTTTAGCTTCAGGCACATAATGAGCGAAATCAAATGAATAAGACACATTAAACTTCTCACTTCTCTATGAAGTTTTGGGCAGTAAATGCAGCAATGCATCTAGGGTCTAACAGAAATAGTCCCTCTGTTTTTGCCATCTTCCTGTTTTTACATAGTAAGACTCCTTACATTTTGACCCTAGACCCCAAAGTGTTTGGATTATATGGGTTCTTGTTCTGTCTGCACAGGTGTCTTGTTCATAGCTTCTATGGGTGATATTTGAGAATATTATATAGACATCAATAGCTGACACTACTTTCTACTTTCTAAATGAGTGGTTAATTACCTTTACAGCCAAATGCTATTAGTATACATTGGAAAAAGAATCTGAGAACAAGCATGAGATCCTGGATATGAAGTCTCTTTAATATATACTCACAAAAAAAACTAGACTTTACTAAGAATATTTCCTATTATTGTTTTTTTCCCCGATGATTTGTTTTGTTTCTCAAAAACAACTTAAGTGGTACCGGAACATCAACACACTGTGCATGATAGCGTAGTGCATTCTAGGCATCGTGCCGTTTTATGCGTCGTCTCAGGTGTTTTTCTTCTTTTGATTGTGCATTTGGTTATTCTTTTCCACTGCTTTTGACTGTTAGATAGATTTCAATTTCAACTGTTATAAATTCCCTACCTAGATTACAAGTTTCTTGTACTATCTTTAACTATTATCCCAATATGGAGTGACTTTCAGTTAATGTTTCTCAATAAACTACTAGCACTACTTCCTACTGTAATTTTTATTCAAGTGTCTAATCTAAGATTCTAAATAAAATATCCAGAACTTGTTCCTGCTATACTTTGCAGTAATAAGTTTTTTTTATTTTTCTTATTCTCTTTCCAAGTTCTTTGGGATAAATTGTTTAGATAAATATGAGATTAATTATTTCATTAAATTCGTCGCCTGGTGTCTTCAAGATGAAGGTTTTTTTTTTCATTCTTTGAAGTGAATGGGTATTAAGTTATTTTAAACTTGGTTCATTTTGTATGTTTCCAGATGGCTCTTTTCCATGTTGCTGTCCTAGCTGGTCTTTTACATAGGTCCAATGTGAGTATGGTATGTACCCTAATGTGGTTTTCCTTGGGAGTTATTTTTTATTATTTTTTGCAGTATATAGATTTGAGACTGATTAAGTTCAGCATATTTTTAGAATGCTGCTGGTCAGCTCAAGACCCGTAAATCTGGGGGTTCTAAAGGAGAGCATGTGCGTGAGCAAGGTGACATTGTCACATTTGCTGATGTTGCAGGTGTTGATGAGGCCAAGGAGGAGCTAGAAGAAATAGTGGTATTTTTGTACTCTTCACATATTTCCTTCAATATGCATATTTGTTGATAGTATCCTGTTCATTTGATCATCACATGGTGTTAATGATGAGTTTATGCATGCTCCTTAGGAATTTTTAAGGAATCCTGACAGATATACACGACTTGGTGCACGTCCCCCGCGAGGTGTTCTCCTGGTGAGTTAAGTGTATTTAAATTTGTACTTGTTAGGATACATGCAAAGTTTTTTAAAGCAACATATCATTGCTATACATAGAAACATTAAGGGAAGTTGTGCTATTGTTAAAAAAAATGATTACTTCCAGATCTAAAGTGTCCAAGCACTTATGTTATATTTAGAGTCTACCCCTTCTGTCTCAAATTGATCTCCAACAACAACAACCCAGTTGAATCCCACAAAAGTAGGGTGTGGGGAGGCTGCGTGTACCCAGACTTTACCCCTTCACTGTTAAAAGAAGCGCACACAGTTTTAAGAACCATTTTGCTTCTTCTCAAATTGATCTCCGAATTTGAAAATAGCACGGGTATTAAGAGCTTGTTCTCTTCCTCTAATTTGATTGGATCCGATATGGTTTCATATGGTTTTATTAAGGTCTGATCTGGTTTATATTTAAAGCTGTTTTCTGATATATGATAATAAGTAATAAGAATAAGTTGAAGAGAACAAGCTCCAAGAGTAATTATAATTTTTTTAAATGTCCTTGCTATTTTTGGCCTTTGTCTCTCCGTCCGTCTTTTGACCGCCTGCCTCTCGCCCACTAGCCAATAGTTCAATACTATATGGTCGTCTACCCCATTTTTATTGTTTTGTGCGGAGTACAATATTAAATTATTAATGGGGTTACCAACCGTATTTGCTATGCATATATATGAATATTATTATATCTCCAACGACATCTCCAAATTGTTAATCTGATTGATTGTAGCTGTCCATAATATAAGCAGTTCTGATTATCTCACAGGTAGGCTTACCTGGGACAGGTAAGACACTCTTAGCAAAAGCTGTTGCTGGAGAAGCTGATGTTCCCTTTATCAGTTGCTCTGCAAGTGAGTTTGTAGAACTGTTCGTTGGAATGGGGGCATCTCGCGTGAGGGACCTGTTTGCTCGTGCAAAGAAAGAAGCTCCATCAATCATTTTTATAGATGAGGTATCTCTTTCCTTTCACAACAATCTCCTCTTGCAGAAACAAACCTTCAACTTCAGATCTCCTCTTCTTGGATAAAAGGAAGAAAAAGAGAAGGAAAAAGAAAATAAGTAGGAACTCTAATGTTTGCACTTCTATACCAAAATCCTAAAGCATAACTTATGCATGTTGTCTGAATATCAGATTGATGCTGTGGCTAAGAGCCGTGATGGTAAATTCCGAGTTAGCAATGATGAAAGAGAGCAGACATTAAACCAGCTGCTTACAGTAGGACTTCATATGCATATTGCTCCACTTTTTTAACTAGTCTGGGTTACACAGGTAGAGATGAATTTTCAAACATTATTCTGCAGGAGATGGATGGATTCGACAGTAACTCTGCTGTCATTGTTCTTGGCGCTACAAATCGTTCTGATGTGTTAGACCCTGCCCTTCGACGCCCCGGAAGGTTTGATCGCGTGGTTATGGTTTGTTTACCTTTTCCTTGTAGCTGTTTTATATTTAGTATACATTTTGTACCTTTATATATTTTCGTCAATAACTTATAAAAATATACTAAATCATTTAAGGTGGAAGCACCAGATCGGACTGGTAGAGAAGCTATTCTCAACGTACATGTATCGAAGAAGAAACTTCCTCTTGGTCAAGATGTCGATCTTGGTGATATTGCTTCTATGACGACTGGTTTTACTGGGTATTTTTTCTGCATATATTTTGATGAGGCATGGTCTCGTGTTGTTTTTAAAAAACGTGTATGTATAAACAATATCCTTGTTCTTTTTGGATGTTGTTCAGGGCAGACCTTGCAAATTTAGTAAATGAGGCGGCTTTATTGGCAGGACGGAAAACTAAGCTTCTGGTTGAAAAGTTTGATTTCATTCAAGCAGTAGAACGGTCAATTGCGGTCTCTGTCTCACACTCTCTCTCCCTCTCCCTCCACTCTATGTTTGCGGCACACACGCTCACTCACAGTCTCACCAACACACAAACACTGCACATCTACCTGTTTGTCCCTTGGATTCTCTAATGTTTCTTGGATTTATATCTTTTATATCTTGGATATCTCTCATTTTTCCAGTCTCTGAAACTTCTTCAGGTCTTGCGCTTTACTTACGGCCTGTTTACATGGGAGGGTTTTGAAGGGGCTTGTGGGATTAGTCAATACTATATGTTCGTATAACATTTGGATCAGAATCTATTCTCCAAAGCCTTCCCTTTCAAATCCATCCCCAACCTTCCATCCAAACAGATCCTTAGGCAGTAAATAACGTAGTTGTACTTATATTACTCAGTACTCGTTTTGCATTTGTAGACTGTTGTATTAAACCATTAATGTAAATATGACCCTAATGAACTCCATTCGTAATGCTACAGGGAATAGAAAAGAAGACTTCAAAGTTGCAGGGAAACGAGAAAGCTGTAGTTGCACGTCATGAAGCAGGTCATGCAGTAGTAGGTACTGCTGTTGCAAGTCTTCTCCCCGGGCAACCACGGGTTGAGGTAATAGATGACTTCCCAATTGTACTACCTTACAAAAATTTGTCATTGGTTGTCTTTCTACTCTAGTATATCTCTTCTTTTATCTGTTTCTCTTGTTTTCTACGATAAATGTTGAATAGGTTTACAATGTAAATGATAATTATTCTGAATATGTTTTTTTTTTGTTTGGGGAGTTTGAGTTTATGGCGTCATGGACATGACATTTTGTCTCAGATATCCATACTAACTACGTAGTTGTCATTTTTGTGACTGGAAATTGTTATATACTTCCCAGTTTTATATGTTTGTGTATGAGATTTCACTTTCACATCTTCAAGACATTTATTGGTAGATTTCAGTAGCTTCTTAAAATGTGATAACACAAGTTTTGACTTTTAATGCACAAGATGTTTCTCTTTTAGGGAACTTTTGTTGAGTACTGTTGGACATCCCATTGAGTCTATGCAATGCATGATGTGAATAAGACTGATATTTCCAATGAGATTTTGCATGATATTGTTTTTTACTCTGTTCTTAAATTTTCTTCCCCTTTGATTTGTTACGCTTATTAGAAACAATGTCAACTGCACAAATCATTCTGTAATAGGAAAACAATTTTTTGGGACAACCCAAAAAATAGTAACTACAGTACTTCCTTTGTCTTGGTGAAATGTTCCAACTTCCAAGTGTAACACCCTTTTTTCAAATTTAATACTGACAGAAACTAAGCATACTGCCTAGATCTGGAGGGGCACTAGGATTCACTTACATCCCTCCAACCAATGAGGACAGATATTTGCTGTTTGTTGACGAACTCCGTGGGAGATTAGTCACTCTTCTTGGGGGGCGTGCTGCTGAAGAAGTGATCTATTCTGGACGTGTTTCCACTGGTGCACTGGACGACATACGCCGTGCCACAGATATGGCATACAAGGCAATTGCGGAATATGGTCTGAATGAGACTATAGGCCCTGTTTCATTGGCAACTCTTTCTGGCGGTGGTACGGATGATTCAGGATCTTCCCTCTGGGGAAAAGATCAGGTACACATCCCCCCATCCAGCTATGGCATATTTTGGTGTAATTTCTTCTTCTTCTTCTTCTTCTTCTGTGTGTGTGTGCGCGCAAGTAATATAACAGCTGTAAAATGATAGGGACAACTCGTTGATCTTGTTCAAAGAGAAGTCAAATCACTCCTTCACTCTGCACTTGAAGTGGCTCTATGTGTTGTGCGTGCCAATTCGACTGTTTTGGAAGGTTTGGGAGCATGCTTGGAAGGTATTAATCCATCGAGCCTCTCTTTTCTTTCTGTATCACTTTCAATTGTCCGTAGGGAAGTATGGTTCTCTTCTTTGGGCATACCCAAACACTTGTGGTTTGGTTTGGCATAGTAGAAATAGTGAAGAAATGCAAGTTTTCACTAATTTGGTAGACTGGGAAATTTGGAAGAGAGTAAAATTGTATGGAGCCCTTCACTCTTTCTTCCCTCACACGAGAAGAAATGGGAGAAAAAGGGACCATTTCCTTTCTCTTTCTCATATACTCAGCCACATGATTTTTGTCTGGTATTGGCTCGGCTCGCATTTTGATAAACTAAAAAGTGTGGTTGAGGTTTGTGTGGACGAGAGAGAGAGAATATGACCCATACAAATTTTCCCTTAAAGGGAAACGAGAAGATTTCTGGGTCATTCTGAAAACGGAAAACATGAAGAAAATTTATGTCCATAATATAAAGAATGTTTGGCCATGCAGAGAAAGAGAAGGTCGAAAGCGAGGAACTGCAAGAGTTGTTAAAATTGGTTGTTGCCCCAACCGAACTCTCACATTTCTTGAATGGCAATCAGGCATCTCTTCTCCAACTGCAACCGGCGAGTTCTGGGTGATGACATCACACGAGCGAACGACCGACCGACCACTTTGGCTTAATTTCTTCGTCCTAATTCAGAAACACTAAAATATTGTTTCCAAGGGCAATTCTGGCATGGATTCACTCTGACCTTTGTGTGTGTATAGTAAGGTGGTAAAGGATCTGTGTCTCTCTCTCTCTATAGGACTCCTGACATGAAGCTTTTCATGTGTGTAATTACCATTTGGTAGTCAGAGTGGTGTATCTATGTGAAGGCCTTTAATGTCAGTTATTATTTGCATACATGTACTTTTGACTGCCCATCATATGCTACTGTATTGAATATAATGAACGCTTGTATATATACATAAAAAAAGAGTTAGAACTGTAAGGTGGTGTATTCGATTGTACCGAATTCTTTTTTAAAAAAAATTCGGTATTAATCATCTAAAAACTCTCCCGTTCTATAAAGATATTTACGTTTACTTGTCAAATATTCTTATACTTGTATTTCTTTGTGTATTTTTGTTAGATACAAAGTACGGAGTATTTGATAAAATAAAAGTTTAGGACTACAGCAAACGATTCAATGCTAAAAAAATAATTCACTTTCATACTAAAATACTACGGAGTAGGACAAATTTGTTTTCAATGAGCAATAGAATCACCATCATTACTCACAATCATCATATCGTCAACATAAAAAAGGCTATAAATAATGGATATTCCGTTGTAATTATACAACAAATAATCAGATATGAATTGAACACACATTTTCAAGATCACTAGAGAGCTTTGCAAACCAGCATCTTGTAGTCTATTTTAAGTCATATACTTCTGTTCCAAATTAAATCATCTATTGTTGTTTACGAGATTTGATAAAAGTTATTTGAAAATTTATATGGAATTAAAAAAAATTTATAACTGCATTAAAAGTTCTACAAAATATGATGTTACAAGTCCATTATTTTTTCAAATAGGTAACGAAAAAATGTAAAACACATTGTTAAAATTTGACTATGTGAATAGTAAACATACAACTTAAATTAGTAAATTTCTTCTATTTGCACCCCACACCAGAGGCATATATGGCTTGAATTTTAAGGGTTATTGCATAAACACCTCTTCAGATAAACCTTGGCTTGAATTTTAAGGGTTATTGCATAAACACCTCTTCAGATAAACCTCCATGTAAAATGCATTTTGAAATTCCATTAACTAGCAAAGCATGAACAAGGGTTCATTTAACAAGCGCAAATGTCTCATTGTAGTTGAGACCTACCAGAGTTACAATTTATATGAATCAAAACCTTAAACAAACATAGTTTGGTTCCAACGGGCGCGCTCCAGATTTCGCTACTACAACACGAGTTCTGGTATCAAATTCTTTCTTTACGAAAAGAATGGCTCGGCGTCAATTTGGGAGAGACAAACCAGAGAGCCAAAATCATAAAATGAGCCAATATGTTTTCACTCATCACACTTTTATGCATGAGTGAAGGAAGTACAAATGAATGCCATGGCATTGAACCAGGCAGTGGTTCTTCAAGTGAACCTATATATGGACCAGTTTAGAAGAACACAAACACACAAAACAAAGATTTCACATGTAATTAAACAAATGCAATCAGCTGCAGATCACTCTGAAGCATCAAGATTTTCATCCTCCTCGGCTCCTGCGTTAAAAATCAAAACTTTAACCCTAAAGATACCACATTTTTATAAAAAGAAAACGTTCATATGAAACCCAGAAAGGAGCGTGTAATTAACCTTCTTCTTCGTCTTCGAATTCCTCGTCATTTCCATATCTTTGGTTCAAGAAATCAACGGCTGATTTCGTGAACACTAGCTTCTCTGAGTCCAAGATGTCGAACAAATTCATAGTCCTAGGCGTTAGCATCTTCAGTGTCGCAACATTTCTGCTTGAAAGAATGACGTTTTTGGACATCTCTGTCATCAAGAACATGGCTTTCTCCTTTGGGTCCAGCCCCAACCTCTTCATCATTGCTATGAACTGTTTGGTGCTGGGCACTTTGAATTTGTCATCGAATTCTTCAACCACAATGCAGCTCTGGGCCGCACTGGAGAGGGCCGTGGAAATGGCCAGCTTCTTCTCCTTCTTGTTTATCTTGGCGGACCAGTCCTTGGGCTTGGGCCCAAACACGACTCCACCTCCGGGCCGGAGAGGAGTCCGCTGAGACCCGCGACGGGCATTGCCCGTCTTCTTCTGCTGGTAGGGCTTCTTGCCGCCGCCGCGGACCTCGCCGCGGGTGAGGGTGGAAGCGGTGCCGCGGCGCTTATTGCGGAGGTCGGTGGTAAGGCCGCGGTGGACGACGGCGCGTGCGGTGTAGGGCGGGGCCGATTTCAGGTCGAGGGTGGCGGAGCCCACCTCCTCGCCGTCGAAAGAGAGGACCGGGAGGGTCGCCAGTTCTGCGCGGACAGCGGCAGATCGATATACTTTTGGCTTTGGGAATTTCATAGATCTGTGCTTAGATGGGGCTTGTCGGAGAGGAGTAGAGAGAAAAACGGAGGAAGAGAAAGAAGCTGTGGACGAAATCGCCATTGTTGCTCAGAGCTTTGAGAATAGAGAAAGAGAAGAGATTCACAGACTCCACAAATCCCAAAACCCTATCCATTAACGGTGGACACCATCTCCGTTCACGGTGGACACTATCTGGACCTCGTATGAAAGTACTCTATAACTTTTTAAATTTCTTGATCACTAATATTTGAGTAATTTTATACTCTCTCCATCCCCAATTTGATTACAAATTACGGGTTACGGAGTAAAATTTTTTATTTTTTGAAATCATTTTATTTATAAATTGGTATATCAATAAGATATAAAAATTACATATTAAAAAACTACGTCAAATATTTAAGTGCTATTGAGGGAACAAAAAGTTTAAGTGCTATTGACTGAAGAAAAGAGTTTAAGTGCTATTTAGGAAAATGATTTAAACTTTAATGCTATTCCGTGCAAATATTTATATATTGATTTAAGTGATTCGTCTCTCATTTCTTTTCGACTCAAATGATTAATTGAATAGTCAAATTACAAAAATAAATCTTAGAAAGCTCAAAACAAGAATTGTTTTGATGGACGGATGCGTAGTACATGTCTTGTGGCAGCTAATTGTGATTTATTATTGGATAATGCTATTTGTACCCCAAGAACTTGTACCCCATTTTGTACTCCGCAGAGATACACCAACATTTTGTATTGGTGTAATGCTAATATTTGTTAACACACTTTGTGTCAGTGTAATTGATTGTTAACGCACCAACCCTTTGTGTCAGTGTGAACTATCAAAATGTTGGTGCATACCTTTAGTATACAAATGAGGTACAAATTTTGGGTAGTAGCATGCTACGGAGTGCTTTATAATTAGTGGGCCTAATTACGGAGCATATTTTATTAGGAATCAATCACTTGGGGATGACACCCTAGTATCTATGACTTAGCTTGTTAACCGTAAGTAGACCTGGCAAAACAGAACCGGAACCGATTACCCGAACCGAAATATCTGAAACCGAAACCGGAATGATCCGAAAAATGAAGATCTGATCTATAACCGAAAACCCGAAATGATCCGAACCGAACCGAAACCGAACTAAATAATTCATATCCGATTTAAATCCGAAACCGATTAGATCCGAAACCGATAATATCCGAATCGATTAAACCCGAAACCGATTAGATCCGGATCCGATAATACCCGAAACCGATAAAATCCGAAACCGATTAGATCTGAAACCGATAATATCCGAACTCGATTAGAACTAAAATCGATAAATTCAGAACTATGTTTACCTTTCAATAAGCATATTATATTTTTAAATTTTTACTTTTATTTTACCATTTGAACTAGTTACATTACTTGCTCATTCCCTCATAAAATGGATTATCTTCTTGAAAAAAAGTACAAATTTTTATGCCTTAAATTTATTATATGTAGAAATTAAAGATAAGTTATACATATAAATGATAACGCACAAACAAATAAAATTTCCGTAATTTTTAAATAGTGAAGTGTGATATTCTTTTT